TTAAGGTCTTAAAAGCTTATAAGTTTATATTGTTGGCTATAGTTTAAAGTTTGCTTAGAGAATTTTCTGAGTTGAAAATTTAGAATAGTGACATATGTCTAAAAATAGGTTTTATTTTATAAAGATAACTGTCAGGGATTTTTGGTGCTATAGGTTGATACAAAATTTTACCAAAATACTCAGTTTTCTTGCACTGAGGAACTGTTTCCCCATTATTGACTACTAGCTTCCATCAGCCAAACTTGCCTTGGTGTGATTTGGATTTGACAGTTAATTCTGTAGTGGTTATTATTATCTTTTTTATTTTACATGTTGCTTTTTGTATCAGCCTGACTCCTTGCCCAATGTATATAATAGTTCTGATGTTTTATTGTTTATTGGTAAACATATCTTCATTAAAAGTTCTTTTTAAATCTTATCAAACTCAATGAGTAAGTTCTCTTCATAACCCATCTGAAATTATTTACAGACAATCCCATAGAAAATGACTCTGACAAGTTCTTATCTATCAACCAATATCTGCATTCTTAAGTGTTGGGGTCATTTTGTATTTTCCTTATAAAACTTTGTAACTTGTCTGTTGACACTTTACAGCAATTTAAAGGTGTCAGTACATTCCCTATGAGACAGACAGTTAGATTTAATTAAGCCCAGCCTAAGAACCATTTTTTTTATAAATCTCTTTCTTGCTTAATTTGGCCAAAAATGTCACATCGGCACTGACTTCTGATCTGTTTAATGTGTTACTTCCCTTCTACTGTGGGACAAATCGGACTTTCTGAGAGAAGCTACTCCTGGCTCCAAGGGGACAAAACTGCCAAACTGGCACTCTTCAGAGACAACTGTTCAGAGAAACAGTTTAAGAGGACTGCAGTTAAAAAGGACTACATAAATGAGGGGACTTCTCCAGATCTGGATAGAGTCAATTATGCCAGACCTCTAAAAGTAACCAAAGCTGAGTGATTTTAAAAAGGGGCTCCTTATGCATGTGCTCTATATTTAAGCCTTTGAGGCTTCTGGCAAAAGGCATGTCTTTGGCTAAGGCCTTCTGTTTAAGCAAAGGCAATATGACCATTTTTACTAGCTCCATATCTGCCTTTTTAATAGTACTCAGAGTTGTTTATATTCTCTCTAGTATTCTACTTTCAATGATATTTAACTTCTGCTTAGAGACATCGTGAGTCTTCTGTACAGAACTGACTCATTAATGTTTACCTTCTAATTGTACTGGCACCTGCCCCCTAATACATATGGTCTCATGTAGATAGTGCCCCAAATAATCAGTTCTTAACTAACCACAGCTACAGATTTCAGATCAAATGTTCCTCTCTCTCTCTCTCTGAGCCTTCTATTCATTGCAGATGTGTATGTAGGTTGCCCATACCCTGGCTCAGGTACAGCTTGGACCACCCTTACCTAGCCCCGGGACCACCCATGCTTCTCTTGCTACTCATTGATTACTGGATGGGAATCACCTGGTTCTTCCCTTCCTCTACGTTAGCATAGTTTTTAAAAGTACCTGGAAAGGGAAAGCATGCTTGCTCTGCTCTAGCTTTTGCTTAGGCTCAGAGCCTATGTTCCCTTTTGTAATTTAATTTCCTAGCTTTTAATAAACTCCATTTTTACCCATGTGTCCTGCTATGGATTCTTCCACATGGGACACAAAAAATTTGGAAGACTTCTGATCACAGACTACACCATTGCCATTAATGCCGTGACATAAAATTGGCAAGCCAGAGCCAGGAGTTTTATCTCACAAGGTTTGAAAAGTGTTTAGCTTTGGAACTTTTCTCTTGAAATCTGTCTCAGCCATAGTGGCCATTTCTTTAACCTCTTCTACTCCATAGCCTACTCCTGTCTACTCTCCCAGACTGGCCATCTGAGTGAGGACAACAGAGGCAAAGATGGACAAGGAGAAAGAGAAAGGGTTAGAAGTCCTGCTCAAGTCCCACTGTTAGTTTTCTCAGCCTGCTGAGTGACTCACATGGTCCTGAGGTTACAAACATAAAAGCAATTGGGAATCTAAATGGCACATGGCTGAGGATTAGAGCTGCTGATCTGTCCCAATCTCCTGGATTTTTTCCATCTAATTCTAAGTCTTTAAATCTGCATAAACTCTACTAACTGTTTTCTCTTTTAAGTCATGCTTTCAAGATAGACTGTTTTCCCCATGTCAAGACTGGGAGAGGAAATAGGCCATGTCCAGGTTGCTGCAAACAGCCCATCCACTTTCCTGGCCAAGAAACCACATAACTGGGGTTAAGAACTCATGCCCTCAGCCTATGTGTGCACAGAGTGGAGGGACCAAGGAAAGAACTTCAATTTTCTGTGTAAGCTTTTCTTTATCTCCTACAAAATACCCCATGCATTTAAAATTGGGACCTTAGTATTCCAGGTATGGTATTATCTAAAAGTCAATAAGGACACCCCTCTTCTTGGGTTCTGCTATGGATTCAAGAAGGCATTTGGGGTTTTATGATTATGAGAGGCCCTTCCCTGAAATTAGCTCTTGAGGGGCTAATTTATTCTCCCTTTTCCATGTTTACTAAGATAGCCAGATCAACCAGTTTCTTACTAAAATCACCAGTTTCAATAAAGATGTAATTGTTTTCACCGCTAACAGTCTGCCCCTTTCCTTGCCTGATGTGTAAATTCTGATTTGAAAACAGTTTTTGGTGTAAATTATGAGGATAGGCTCGTGCATCCCCTATCCTTTATCTGTAGGAAGATGTAGGATGCCAGCTTTGCACCAAAAACTAGGCTGCCTATATTTACTTTAAAAGGTTTGGCTTTTAAAGTAGCTGTAGCCCAAGGTAAACTATTAGGGATTATTTAAAAAGCACCCTCTAGGGGTAAAGCTGAAGTTTTAATAATCCAAAGAGGCCATTATAAGTCAAGATTCCACTCTTTCTTAATCCTAGTTGTGTGTCTCAATGTGCTAGTAGGTGGACGACCCAGCTAACACGGAAGATCAGGACCCAGCAAAAAGGACTGGGGAGTTCAATGATTAGGATGGGATGCCTCCATTAAAAGAAAAATTGCAAGTTTATTCATCACACTCATTAAGGTGGAAGGAGATTTACATCCTTCAGGGTATAGGTTAATTGTTCCAAATAAGGGAGCATAGGTGTGGGAGGAAGATAACTTTCCCAATCCCCCAGTGAATGAAACAGGTATGCACCTCTCTATTTCTTTCTTTTCTCACTTCTATTTTTTTCTCTAGGCACAGAAAACAAAGATGGGAACTGCTGTTAGTATTCCTGGCAACTCTCCATTAGATGTATTTTAAAGAATTTTGGGACTTTAAAGAAGAGGGATTAAAGAAAAGAAAATTTATTTATTATGGTAATGCGATATGGCCTAAATATAAGTTGAATAATGAAAAAACTTGGTCTATAAATGGGAGATTTGATTTTAATACCGTTCTCCAACTAGACTTATTTTGCAAAAGGCGGGGGAAATGGTCTGCAGTTCTCTATGCATAGCTGTCTCTGTTGGCACATAGAGACCCAAAATTTAGAGAAAAATGTAGAATTTTCTGTATTCCAGCATCTACCCCAACAGACCCACTAGAGGGTGAGTTTTCAGGAGTTGGTGGAAGACCCCTCCTCAGGCCCCTCTTACGCCTCCAGAAGCAAGAGAACCTCAGGAGGTAACTAGTCCCTCTGCTTCATTCACACCTCTGGCCCCGAGGTCTCCAACTACTGCACCTGGGGCACCTAGTTCTTTCTCCACAACCTCTGCTGCATTATCCCCTAACTCCCCTCCTGCTTATCCACCAGAATCCCTGCAGGCACTACATGAAGGGCTTGTTTTTGCAGAAGTGGCAGCTGTAGATGGAGGCACCATGCGAGTACATGTCCTTTTTTCCATGAACAAAGTGTCTCAATGTAAAGAGAAACTAGAATGCTTCTCTGAGGAACCGGGAGATTCATGGATGAATTTAAGATTATCACTGCTACTTTTGACCTAGCCTGGAAGGACTCGCATGTTCTCTTTTCAGTTTCTTGCATTCCTGATGAGAAGCATAGCATTTGTACAGCAGCTTGGATTTATGTCTGTATCAGGGATGAAACTAAACCAGTGGAAAATGTTGCCATGCCCAATGATGAGCCAAATTGGAGCTGTCAAGTTGGGAATACCAATGCAGAACTAAGAAAGTACATGATTGACTGCTTAACTGAAGGAATGAAGCAATCAATACACAAGGCTGTTAATTAAGATAGATTAACAGATATCACTCAGGGAAAAGATGAAAATCCTAACCCATTTTTAGAACAGTTAACTGAGGTCCTGAGAAAATATACTAACATCAGCCCAGATTCAGTAGGAAGACAAACACTTTTAGGGATGTCTTTTATTAGCCAGTCAGCATTAGATATCTGCTGTAAGCTACAGAAACAAAAGATGGATCCCCACACTCCACTTTAAACAGTAGATTTGGCCTTTGAGGTTTTCAACAACCAGGATTTAATGGAGGAACACAAAAAGATTAAGAGTCATCAGTTACAGGAATAGAGGCAGGCTTAATTATTTGCAGAAAAACAAGGTCAAATATTGGCCATGATTATGGATGGGAAGTTTCGCTCTAAAGGAGAGCCTCATCAAGAAATACCCTAGGAAATCTCTAAACATCAGGTTGATTCTGGTAACCCATAAGGGGAGATGTCATAAGTATGGAAAGCCAGGGCATTGGAAAGCTGAGTGTGCCAAAAAGAGACCACGAAATCCAAGACATGTCCCCTCTGCTATAAGGGAAAACATTGGAAAAAGGACTGTCCCTTCCTCCAGGGAGAGGGGATGCCATCCACGTCTGAAATTGTTCTTGATGACTAAAGATACCTGAGGGTTCCCACTATTTGAGCCCCAATGAGTCAACTATAAATATCTTATGAGGAACTCTACCTCTTGAAGTGGTTGAAAGATTAATTAACTCCTTAGTAGATAATGGGGCTCAATTTTTTGCCTTGATTGACTTCCCTGGGTCTCTCTCTAAACAGAACTGCACGATAACTGATGTCAATGGAATCCCAAAGATCAAAAGATCCTCTCCTGACTTGCAGGTATGAGAATTTTATTTTCTGTTAAAGAGCTCTTGTTTTACCAGAATGCCCAACTCCATTGTTGGGCAGGGATATTTTGATGACCTTAGGCACACCAATTCATTTTAATATTAGTAACCCTATGTCATTCCTGGGAGTCTTAATAGGGTCCCCACAGAAAAAGGATAATAATATTCCTTAGGAGATTTTTATCAGCAGCAGACCCACAATTCTGCGATGTAGAAAGCCCTGGAAGGGCGATAAATGCTAAAGAATCTTTCCCATTATTCTCATGAAAGGCAATAGCCTATTAATCCTGAGCCAGACATGGATTACAATTGTTAATCACTAAATTTAAGTCTGCACCACTGGTATCACACCAACCTCCTTGTAATTCTCCCAGTCCACCTGTTTTAAAACCTAATGGAGAATACAGACTTATGCAAGACTTAAGAGAAATTAATGAGGCAATTGTGCCTATCCACCCCATAGTTCCAAATCTGTGTAATATCTTAGCACAGATACCTACAGGAAAATGTTGGTTTACTGTTCTCCGTCTAAATGCTTTCTTTCGTATACCCCTTGACCATAAATCTCAATCTCTGTTTGCTTTTGAGTGGACAAGTCCTGAGAGTTTGGGAATGACTCAGAGCACCTGGACTGTGCTGCCCCGAGGGTTTAGAGACAGCCCACACCTATTGGGGAATGTTCTGGCCAAGGAACTACAAACTCTGACACTAAACTGCAGAGTGCTAATGCAATATATGGATGATTTGTTAATTTTCAGTCCTACAAAACAGAACTCCGATGGAAATACTCTTCAAGTGCTTAATCTCTTGGGAAAAGCCAAATATAGAGAAGCTCCCTAAAAGGCCCAGATTTCCAAGCAAGAGGGTACATACTTGGAATATATATTAATCATGGAGACAGAAAGCTAGCTCCAGAAAGAAAGATGGCTTCTCCAAGTTGGGCCTCCAAGAACAAAAATGCAGCTCAGAATGTTCCTGGGGCTGAGTGGATTCTGTAGCTTCTGGATACTGGGGTTTGGCTTAATAGCAAAGTCCTTACATAGAGCAGTTAAGGGTCCAGATTCAGAGCCTCTATATTGGACTAGAGAATAGGAAAGAGCTTTGAAGGACTTAAAGGAGCTTTCAACTTCTGCTCCTGCATTGGGAATCCCTGATTTAAACAGACAGTTCATGCTATATGTAGCCAGCCCAAAGTCAAGGAATAGTTCTAGGAGTCCTAACCCAGAGATGAGGTGACATCCCCAACCTGTAGCCTACTTCTCTTAAACAACTAGATACTGTTTTATGTGGGAGGTCCAGTTGCCTATGAGCAGTTGTGGCACCTGCTCTTCTAGTACAAGCTTTGAAATCAACTTTGGGGCATCCTCTAGAAATTCAAACACCTCATCAAGTCCAGAGTATATTAGATATTAAAGGGCACCAATATCTGACAGGTGGAACCTTGCTTAAATACCAGGTTCTCCACCTAGAAACTCCTGAGGTTACTTTAAAACCTTGTAATATTTTAAACCAAGCTACCTTCCTGCCCTTACCAGATGGAGAGTTAATGCATTCCTGTTTAGAAACTATTGATCAGGTCTATTCTAGCTGACCTGACTTAAAGGGCCAGCCATTAGAAAACCCTTATGAGGAATGGCTTACACATGGAAGCAGTTTTGTCAAGGAAGGAAAAGAGATGGTGGAATATGCATTCATTAGCCACTGAGTTGTAACAGAAGCAAAGCCTCTTCCTTGTAATACCTCAGCACAAAAAGCTGGAGTAATTTTTTTAACGCTAGCACTAGAGTTAGGGAAAGATAACAGGCTTAATGTCTCTATTGACTCTGAAGAGGCACTTCTAGTTTTACATGCTCATGCAGCCATTTGGAAAGAGAGAGAGGTCTATTGACTTCTCATAACTCTCCTATAAAACATGGGGTGAAAATCTCATCTCTATTAAAGACTGCTTGGGAACCCTCTCAGGTAGCTGCCATGCACTGTAGATGTCATCAGAAGTCAGGTTCCCTAATTGACCAAGGTAATGCTTTGGCAGATTGCAGTGCAAAGCAAGCTTAGAAATGGCTTTGATTGCTGGGCACTGGTGGCTCTTGCCTGTAATCCTAGCTACTTAGGAGGCAGAAATCAGGAAAATTGCTATTAGAAGCCAGCCTAGGCAAATAGTTCAAGAGATCCTCTCGAAAAAAACACCTCACAAAAAAGGGCTGGTAGAGTGGCCTAAGGTGTAAGCTCTGAGTTCAAACCCCAGTACCTCAAAAAAAAAAAAATGGTTTTGATTCCCACCATGCCAAAATTATCTGATGATACACAATACTCAGAGGTGGATAAAGAATGGGGAGTTAAAAAGGGTTATAGATTAGGAGAAAATGGCTGGTGGATGAGAGGATGATCACAAGGTATTAATACCTCAAGCAGACTCCTAAGTGACTCCTGTCACTTAGGCCAAGATGCACTTACAACACTGCTCTCCCGAGTGGTTGGAGGAAGGGGGCTCTTCATCACTATTCAAGGAGAGACTCAAGCTTGCACTACATGTTTGCAAAAACAATCAAATCTGCCCCATCTCCTTAAACCAGTTCAATGGAAGGGAACTTTTCCAGGTGAAGACTGGCAATTAGATTTTACTCAAGTCCCAAAATGTCAGGGATATGAATACTTACTGGTATATGTAGATTCTTATTCGGGGTGGATTAAAGTTTTTCCTACCCATACAGAAAAAGCTCAAGAAGTAGTTCAGACATTACTAAAAGAAATAATTCCCAGGTTAAGGCTACCAATGTCTTTATAGAGTGATAATGAACCTTCTTTTATTTCACAAATAACTCAGGAAGTTTGCAAGACTCTAGGAATTACTTATCATCTGTGTGCTTCTTGGCATCTTCAGTCTTCTGATAAAGTTGAAAGGGCAAATTTACAAGTACACTGACTAAACTGTGTTAAGAAACTTCTAAATGTTGGCTAAAATGATTACCAGTTGTTTACTAAAGATTAGAAGAGCCTCTAAGAGCTCTCTTTGATTAAGTCCATTTGAATGCCCTTTTTTAAACCTCTGATTTTCTATTAGATTCTAAAATACAGAGCCCCTCAAAATATGGAATTAACCTAGGCCAGGTACAGCAGGCCCTACAGGAACATGGAAATTGTTAGACTGAAAAAAGGCATGCAAGGATAGGTAGGAGACGGCTCAATACATCAGTGCATGTTTTATTGGGGAGAAAAACCTGTTGGGGTGGGTGTCTCCAGCAAGAGAGTTAGAGCCCCCAGCCACTTACAGACTGGGGGTAGATATAGGAGGTTGGTGGAGAAATCTCAGGAAAGTTGCTGGGTGGGAAAATCCTCAATGACCCTCTGACCTTCCCAAAATAAAGGATTAAGTAAGGACTGGCCCGGTAGGGAGTTTCTACTAGATGGATATAGATGTTTGTCATTCTTTAGGGCCGGGTTGGGTATTTCCAATAAGCCACCTGTGAGGGGGAGGAGGTACAGCCTACATAGCTAGTCTATGTTCACCCTAACAGAAATCATATTCTTCCTGCTTCAGGAGGAGCACTTTTAACTCCAAAGATAAAACCTGGAGAGCAAGTTTTACTAAAAACCTGGAGGAAGGATTTCCCCTCAGACCAGTTTCTTTCTAGATGGAAAGGACTATACACAGTTTTTAGTACTCTTACAGCTGTTAAGCTGTTTAGAATTTCTTCCTGGGTTCATACCTCTAGAATAAAATTTTTATCTTAGCTTCCAGACTCATCTAAAATAAAAGAAGTCAAGGAATCCTACATCTGTGATGCATTAGAGGACCTGAAATTTTTCTTCAAGAAAAGGAAGGATATACTCAGATTAATTAACGAAGATCTGCATTACTTATACACTTTTGGTAACACTTTATACAATCTTTTGTTGGTATTTGTACTGGACTGGTGACTAATAAGATATTTGGGGAATGCTTAGAGCCACTATTGCCTCTCCCTCATGGGTTGCCTTTGAACTTGCTCTCTTACTGCTTTCAGCTATCAAATGTGCTCTCTCACAATGCATTGGACATTGATTATAATCCTGTTTTTATCTTTACAAGGGATAACAGCATTTAATCGAATGCTGGAGTTAGCCAAGGAGACTAATGAAATTTTTTGTGCTCCTACAGCCCACAGTGTATCAGATTTTAAACTTATTGCCTTAGAGAAAAGGCTAACAGGAAATCCTATTGAATGTTGGGGCCGCCATTATGATGGACCCCACCAAGATTATTTCCTTATGACCATGGGGAAGCAAATGTGACTGGTTATAGGACAATAGGCATTCAAGGCTTTGCAGGTATCCCTCTTCCCCCTGAAAGCTTACAAGTTTGTCCCAGCTGTAGGACAGAAAAAGTACTTAGGGGAGCCATAATTCAAGGAGTATTATGTGTTTTCAGTAAAGATGAAAGTTTCTTTATATATGATCTTAAGGCTAGTACAGTAACTTTTTGCAATATAACCTTTACTTATGGACATATTATAACTGCAGTGGGCACTATAAACAACTTTACCCTTGCAGGGGAACAGCGAGTAACCCCACAGATAATTATGTATGACCTGGGGTCTAACATAAATTACTCAACCCAGAACCCCCCTAGCCAAAATCATATTAAGATTTTTTTCATAACAACCTACCTCTTAATAGCATCCACTTGACAGAAAAAAACATTATTTAGAGGATAACTGTAACCCAACAATTACCATCTGGAGTAATGGTAAACATAGCAGCAGGGATAGGATGGGTTCTCTACTTTGGGCCAGGGGGAGAGGGGATATTCATGGAAAATAAAAATGCTATTCATGTAGGGTCTGAAGATTGGCAAACCAGACCACCAAAGCTACTCCTAGGAGAAGTCTTACAACTCAGGCTTTTCTATTGCAAACTGACATGCTTCCTTCTTGCCTGCTGGGATGGAATATGTAAAGTTTTTGGTAAAGAATGTTACATACAGGTAGAGGACCTTCATATGAGATCACTGATCACATGAAAGCAGATGAGGAGAAGGAAAAGTATGCTACCTGGTTTGGAGGCCTCAGATTTTGGGAGGAGTAACTTCTATCACCATGAGCTGCTTGCTTATGACTTGCTGAGGCAGGCTACAAGTAAGTTGCCCACATCTGGCTCAGGGATGGCCCAAATCACCCCTCATTTGGCTGAGAACCACCCACGCCCCTCCCCACTCATTGATTATTGGATGGGAATCACCTGGTTCCTCCCTTCCTCTAGATTCTCATGAATTTTAAAAGTACCTGAGAAAGAAAAGCACACCCTCTCTGCTAGCAGATTCCACCCAGGCCTTTCCAAGCTTCCTTTTGTATTTCCTTTCTCTAACTTTTAAAAAACTCCCTTTACACCCACATGTCCTGCCATGGATTCTTCCATGTGGGACAAAGAATTTGGAAATCTTATTACCACAGACTGAAGTGATGCGATTAACAATGCCATCTTTACAGTAGTTATCAATCTACTATGCTGTTTCTGTGGATGACAGGTGTTTTCAGTAAATTAAAATCGTACCTTCCCTTAATTTTATTTTTATAATTCTTCTTAAAGGTAAAATCCTATTAGCTTTATCCACATACCGGTTTTGAGGTTTTTTTAACTTTAAAGAATGGTTTTCACTAATTTCTCTTTTAGTAAAAGAGTAACTTGATATCTCCTGGTCCTGATCCTGACAGCCCATCAACTACATTTTTTTGCCAACTAAATTTCCCTTGTCACCTGAATTTAAGACAGGAAAACAACTTTTTGGTTCCTTTTCTAGATAGGGCTGGTGCCCAAACTCAGCAGGAAGCAGCTACAGAAGACAGATTGTCTCCCCTCTGTACCCGTTTTAAGAATAAAAGAGACCAAAGTCATCTAGGAAGGAAATAAAGCAGGATAGACAGATAAGGAGACAGGAAAGTTAAAGTACTTTAATAAATAAATTTTATTTATTAAATATTTTCTGAGGGTCAGACTCAGACGTTGAATTGAGGAAGTAAAAGCTGAAAAGCCAGAGCACCTAGCCTCCTCCTTTTAGATACTAAGTTATAGGAACAGGGAGACATAAAGGAGCTGCATATTTCTGCTTTCCTCTTTGAGATGTTAACAAGCTGCAAGGATCCTTGAATGGATAGAGGAAAAGACTTGTCTGGCAAAGTCCTAAAACTCATCTATGATCCCTGTGTTTTGGGTAGGCCTAGGTAATATCTCCACATTTTACAATAACAAACACCCATCTTGGGCACTCAGAACCATTATGTAGTGATTAGGGCTGCTAGACTTTCACTTGATAATATGTATTTCCCCCAACTCAGAGCTTAAAGATCCCAGGAAAGGATTGCCATTTTTGAGCTTATCTCCCATCCCTATACTTCTAGCAGGACTCTTTTCTCCTTTCCCTTTAAATTTCTCCCTACTTTTATCTTGTTATATTAAAATAAATTCTTGCTAAAACTTCCACCTCGTGAGACTCCTTGTTATGGGATACCTTTCATGTTTGTGGATCTCAAGGACCTGTGAGTTTGTGTGAAAACTGGGAAATTATGGGAGCCCCTCATCCATTCTTTGGTGACACCTAGAATTAAATTTTTGCCTCTTTCCTTAAATCTTTTACTCCCAAAGCTAGATAGTAGGAAGGATCTCTTTTTTCTTTTTTTTACTTCCACTCTATTTAAAAATCACTTATTTAAAATACATATATATTAACTGTCCAGAATCTGTTTAAAAGTAATCCAAGGGCTGGGGAGTAGGAATAAGTGAAACAAGACAGGTGAATTGCTCATTGTTGAAGTTGGGCAATGAGGCGTGAGGAGTCACTGTATTTGGCTGTATACAGTGGCATTGCCATACATGTTCTTTTTGACTTACCCTAATGGAAACTTTATATGGTTCCATCCAGCAGTGTTTTTCTGTGTACATTTGAAGTTTTCCATGACAGATAATTAAATCATGCATTTATCTTTGATGTATTAGTAAGTTACTGTTATGTTCATAACCCATCTCCCTCCTTTTCCTCAATCCCATGCCACCAGGCAAGAACAAGGCCCCTGACAGTCTCTTTGAGAACACAAATGGATCATACCGGTGCCACATAAGTTGTCAATTCAACATGGACTCAAATAACTTCATTTTAAATACTCAAATCTAAGCTAGAGAATAAACTAATGCTGGCAATAAATGATTTGGGAATCTATTACTTTAATGTTCAAATTTTAGTAAGCTGAGAATAGAGGAATCAATTTGAAAAAAATCAGACATGAAGCAGATACTCATAGTGTTGAATTAATTTGCTTTGATCCCTTTTCTAAATCAGGTTTTTTTTTTTTTTTTTTTTTTGAAGGACTGATTTCTTCCTATGCTGTGGAACTTATAAAACCCTCCACTGCAATGGAACACATTTAGTGTTCTACAATTTTGAGAGTTCAGCTAGCAGAAGCTCCTGGGTCTGAAAGGAAGACCCATCATCAGTTTACCAGACTCACAATCAGCCAGAGTGGGAGAACAGGTTTTGCTGTCTGTGCAACAGAAGAAGGTAATTAGAATTTTGGTTGTAATAAATATCTACAATCTCCTCTTTCAAGCTTTGTATTTTATAGAATGCTCGTGTGGGCCAGGCTCTCAGAAACAGTTTCTTTTTAATGCCTTGACCATGCTCGGGGCCCAGGGGCTCCTTAGCACAAGGGAAGCTTACAACAACTAAGCACCAGGGCGTTCCACCTCCAAAGCCAGCCAACTTCTCTGTAGAAACCTTGAGGCACCCCATCTCATCAGAGCTCTCCAAAACCAACTGTGCTTTGTTGTCCTAGGATTAACTGATTCAGTTGTCACATTAAAAGCTTACTTCTATTTCATTATGTGTCAAATGCCATAGGTGTGAACATAGCAGGGGCCCTGTGCCTAAGAATCTCAATCCAGAGTTTAAGAAGATGACATAAATCAGGTGAAGTCAGCATAAAATGCTGGGTGAAGCTTCTCAGAGATATTGACGTGCAAATGGTCCCGTGGGTGGTAGGGCGGAGGCATTCTGGGAAGAGTGAACACCATGAGCCAAGACTCAGATGTGAAAGAACACCGTGTTTTAAAGGAATGGCAATAAATCTAGTCAAGCAAAGAGTTGTTGGGACAGGTGCTAAAGGTAGGTTGGTATCAGATCACAAAGTCCATGTCGGATCACACGGATGAGTTCAGGTCACCAAAATGTTCAGCAGAAAGAGACCTGATCAGTCTGTGCACCCCAGTGCTGGTGAGAACCAAGGAGACCAACTTCTGGGACATTTCCAAATGATAAGTGACTGAGGACCAATTCAAAAGTCTATTTTGGTGATGAGGATACAGGAGAAGAGCAGTTATGCAGACAGTGGCGGGGGGGTGGGGTGGGATCTCTGCGTCCACTTGGTGTTTTCATCTTGACACACACTGTCATCTTGAAAGTTTGAATGGCTATGACAGAACGTGGACTTTTTACTTTCACAACTAAGGTGAGTTCTCTGGAACAACCTTTGCTGTGTCCCTCCCTCATTGCCTCAGGGCAAAGGCTTACTTGGCAGTGGCCATAGGAGAAGAGTGCATGATGTCACACTGTAAGAAATATTCCAGTAGCCATGTTTACACAGATAACCTTGCAGGCTATTTTTAAAGCTCCTGTTGACACATGCAGTTCTCCCAGGATGAGAAGATGGTACTTGTGGTGAGCTGACTTCACCAACAACAGTCAGCCACTGCCTCATGTTTTCCCATCTCATTTTTCTCACCACTGATGAGCATGGTAACAGCACGAGCAGAGTGAGTACCTGATGTTCTGGGGACAAAAAGGAGGGGAGGCTGGCTAGCTTAGCCTCCTAAATTAAGTGTTGCTCTTTACTTTTAAATAAGCTAAATTTTCATCATTGGTATCACTGTCATTTCTGACATTGTAATTTTTGGGGTGTGTGTACATGTGCTAGAGATAGAACCCAAGATCTTGTGTTTGCTAGGCAAACACTGTATCACTGAGCTACATCCCAACCTATTTTCGACTTTTGAAGTATTTTTCAAAAAATAGAACTTTGTTTTCAAAATCAGGTGAAGAACCACAAGCTGTACATACAAAATTTAGTCAAGTTTTAAAACTTTTTGACTGAAGTGCACATGCTTGCAGAAGAAAATGCATGTGAGCCTCTGGCATGAAGAGACTTCAAGATGGTAGCACACTGGTACCATCAACACTCAGATCAGAAGGTGTGGCTGGCACCCCAGAAATCTCTCCACTCCCTGCTCCCTTCCAACCTCAGTACTACCAAAAGCAACAATCTACCTGCTAATAATTGCATCGATGATTACTTGTGCCTTTTTGAATGTTATATATAGATACTCCTTCACTTATGATGGGGTTACATCCCGATAAACCCATCAGAAATTGAAAATATAAGTAGAATGTATATTTACTACACTGAGTTACGGAACACGTTAGCTTAGTGACTAGAACACTGCAGAACTCTCCTTGTGGATGTGGTGATGGTGAGGCTGCTCCCAGCATCCTGAGGGAATTGTCACAATTGGTTTTCACAAGAGAAGATCAAAACTCAAAATTTGAAGTATGGTTTCTATGAATGTGTATCACTTTAACACTACTGGAAGCTTGAAAAATTGTAAGCTGGGGACCATTTCTATTAATAAGCAGATTATACAAGATGAGCTGGGGTCTAGCTTCCTCTATGCAACATCACTGAGAAGCTCCTGTATTGTAGTGTATGGTTTGTCACAGCTGGGTTGTATTCTTGTGCCACCACATGGTGATTTTCTTTTTGTAGTTTTCAGAGGTCTGTTTATTTTTCTATATCAACTTTAGATTGAGCCTATCTTGCATCAAGAACAAAACAAGCAAAAATTAAAATAAAAACCTAAGTGTAGAGCCATTAAAATAGTTAAAATATTTTTTTGCTGATTATGTAAAAGAGAAGAAGAAATAATGACTTTTAGTATTTGCTCAGATATGCTTAGGAAGTTGTATCTCAACAGACATTAAATCTGCTGCCCCCTTAATCTTGTCCTCTCAGCCTACAGTAATGTGAATTTTTGGTATTTTTGGCATAGCAGCCCTGACAGATTAAGACACAGAGAAAAAGCAAATATTCCATTCAAAATAGAAACTCTTTTCCTAGAAGAGGTGAATTCAGATTTTTCAAGTATCTCTCTAGTGAAATATTGAATTAGATCTGAAATATGATAAAAGAGCCTGTTTCTTAACATTACTGCTAAATGGCTTACGCATGTTTTGTTTATGGCCAAAGAAATTCCTTTTCTACAAACAGTTTTTATCACAAAGCAGTATTCATTATAGAAATATTAGAAACAATGCATCAGTAGAAAATAAATAAAAATAATCCTTCATTACCAGAAATAACTATACTCTTACTATCTTGGTCTTCTACACTTTTAAATTTTTATTTTCTAATGTTAATTTTTTGCATAGGTAATAGTTAGAGATTCAAAATTCAAACAAGAAAAAACGGTCATCCTTAGCCAATTCAGTTTCCCTTCTCAAATGCAACCATTGTTATTATTCTCAGAAGAGAATTTCAGACCAGTTGATTTCCCAAATAAGGGAAAAATAATTTTTTTTTTTTTTGCAGTACCGGGGTTTGAACTCAGGGCCTACACCTTGAGCCACTCCACCAGCCCTTTTTCATGAGGGTTTTTTTGAGATGGGGGTCTCACAAACTATTTGCCAGGGCTGGCTTTGAACCGTGATCCTCCTGACCTCTGCCTCCTGAGTAGCTAAGATCACAGGTGTGAGCCACTGGCACCCAGCAGGAAGACTCTGAACCTCGATGTTACTCCTTATATTTAGAAAATCAAACACACTAAGAGTCAGTTTGATCATCTGATTTATATATATTATTTCCCAAAAGACAAATTAATAAGGAACTACTCCTTATTAATTAAGGTGATTTCCAGAAGTCAAATATTGGAAATGTAAAATTTGACTTTTTTTTTACATTTTATACACACGTGTGTGTGTGTTGTATAAAATGTCTAGTGTAGCTTTATTCATAAAGGCCAAACCCTGGAAATAGACCAAATGTCCAACTGGTGAAAGGATAAGAAAATTGTGGAACACTTACACAATGATATACTACTCAGCAAGAGAAAGGAACAAACCTTTGAAAAGTAAAACAACACAGGTAAATCTCAAGAACATTACACTGAGCAAAAGAAGCCAGACACAAATCAGTGTATGTCTTACTATTCCATTTATGTAAAATTCAAAACAGGCAAAACCGGAGTATGGTGATAGAAATCAGACCAGAGATAACCTGGAGTGAGGCTTGGGAAAGGACTGACTACAAGGAATACAGAAGTTTCTGGAGTGATGAAAATGTTCTACACCTTGACTGAAGTACTGGTGACATTGGTCAGATGGCACAGTTACAATTGAATGCAAATTAAATTTCAATTTGAAAAGTAAGCTTTGAGATAAGTAGCAAATATGGAGTTATGCCAATATGTCAACTTGCTAATACTTTAAAAAAAATTAAAATTCAGACTTTAGTTAAGAAATAATTTCAATTCAGGAGTGGATGAATTTAATAATATATTGTAAGAACTTTTGTAAATGTACCCCTAGTACAACAATGATATGATAATAAATAAATAAATGTCATATTAAAGCAATAATAAACTAATGAAATGCAGAAAAAATAATTCAGCAGATAAAAATAATTTCAATACAAAGAAAAATATTAAGATGATTGAATCTTTGGGAAGACAATTATATTCCTAGTCTCTGTTCAATCAGAATCAAAAGGGCCAAAAATATTAACTGTAAAACTGTTTCTGATTGTAGTTCATAGACTGTTTTACTCAAAGACGTTCAGTAAACATTTTTCTTTTTCTTTTTGGATGCAGGTTCTTGCTTTGCTGACAAGGCCGGCCTCAAACTCATGATCCCACTGCCGAGGTCTTCTGAGTGCAGAGGTTGCAATTATGTTGTAGACTCAATAAAAATCTGGTAAGCAACAATACCTGAGCAGTTAAGGCAGACTGTTGTTTTTCTAAACATTGACAAACACTCAGTTCAGGTGAGATCGACCCTTCCTTTTTTTCAGCTAAAATAGTCATGGACCCAAACAAGATAGCACAGCAGCTCAAACCCTTAACCTGTTATTTACTGCTGTTAAAAGGGAAAAGATGGTTAAGTAACAGGATATGTAGACCAGAGCAATTAAACCCAGCACCTCACCTCGTACAACTGTGTTGGACTCTGACTTGGATTTTCATTCAATAATCCTAATGGGAATTGCTGAACCTGGGATAATAAATGGCTAATGATTTAAAGGAAGTTCAAATATAGTCAAGAAACAGGTTTTTGTGGCTAAGGTATGCTCTGGAATCAGCAAAATGTCTAAGTGAACAAAACTTACCACAACAGTATCCAATTCAGACATTTCTTAGGGCTGGATATTTCCCTGCCAGCCACAATAACTGATTTTACCTGATAGCAAACTTTTTTTGGGGGGGAGGGGGCAATAGTAGGATTTGAACTCAGGATTTTGCACTTACAAGGCAGGCACTCTACTGCTTGAGCCATTCCTCTAACCCTTGATAGCAACCATTTTAACTTATTACAAACACAAGACCTGAACACCAAATTAATATAAAAACCTGGCGTTTTGTAAGGAGAAGTCAGTGATTTTCAAATCCTTTTCCTTCCTTGTAGAGAAGATAGTTTCACTTCTCTGAAATGTGTGAATAAGTCTCCCCAGCTTAGTGTAGGTACAGTCTGGCTCCAAGAAGATAAGAAACCATTTGTCATAAAGGGTGGGGTTGGTCAAATAATACTGGAATGAGACTAATGAGAAATTCTGAGACTGTGGAAACAGACATGAGTATTCGTTTTCTCTCTGAATAAGTAGTGGTTTCAGAATCTAGTGAGGAAAATCGTTTTCCAGTCATCACGACACATGCCAAATTAAAATTTCTCAAGAACACTTTCACAAAGGTCATTATCGTGCTTGTTTTCAGGACAAAGTGCAGGGTGCAGTTTCAGGGAGTAGAAATGGTATAGAAGACATGATCTCCAAAACAGAGTTTGATGATTCGTGAGTTCCTGTCTAATGGTATCATGACAAATCTCTTCGTAAACATTGAAGAATGAACGTTTCTTACCTTTACTGACATAGTTGTTTCTTTTTTCCTGAAAGTTCTTCAAAGTGCTAAACTGAATCATGAAGTAATCATGAAGTCACCTGAAGATCAAATTCATAAACATACAGATCTTAGTGGTGTCCAGTAACTGTGAATTATGACTTAGTTTCCTCTGAAAGATGTGCAAGCCCTCAAGGGGAAGCTGAGGAGATGAGATGGGTTATATTCGTTTTCAGAACAGTATTCAAGCCAGATACATTCTGCTCATGAGAGTTAATCCGGCACCACCCGAGGATACCTACAGTCTATAAACAGGTAACTTTGGAGACTCTTTTTGCACTGTTTGACTCATCTTACTGATGATGTTTATGAAGAACAAAGACACTTCTGTCTTAGAGAATCATTCAAATAAAATGAACTCGGAATGGACAGTAGAATTCCAAAGGATTTAAAAATGTGTAACACACAATTAGATATTAGGAAGTTATAATGCCATGATGTAGTTTATATATTTATAAAATGTCACAACATTGGATTAGACAGGGTTTATCATTCTTTATAAGGTTAGGATATTGTATAAGTAAGCCAAGTGAAATAGCTCAATGTTAAATATGGCTTGGATTAGAATGTTAATGTGACAAGCTACAGATGACAAATTTATACTTAATAATAGCACACTTTCTGCAGCAATATCATGATATATTTTTCTAAAAACAAAATATCATGTGCTGTTGAACATTTCAAATGGAAGTTAGACAGCATTCTTGATTTCAGTTTCTGAAAGATATTAGTGCAAAGTCCATAAAGGCCAGATAGCTAGAAAATGAAAGCTGTGGCAAGGCAGGGGCATCAGAACTCGTTTTGTGTGTACGTAAGACAATATCCAAACACAATCATTAGGAGCAGCTTAGTTATGTACAAGGGCTTGTTAATGTTTGGTCACCAACAAGCCCCAAGAGAATGACGGGTTTGGCTCTCAGGTAGTATCGCTGATTATTTTATTTTATAAGATACTATAATTTTGGCTATATCACCTATTTCCAAAAGGAATGGAATGTAGTTTATATTTTTTTTCTATCATTGCAGGCTTGTCATTAGCCCTTTTTGATTTAGTTGTTTTTCAGATAGGGTCTCATACCTTTGCCTAGGGCTGGCCTTGGATTGTGAACCTCCTATCTATGGCCTCCTGTGTAGCTGGGATTATAGGCATGAGTCACCATGGTCAGCCATTAAGTTTTCTTATCTCTGTATCCTTCAAAGGTGATGGACAGTTGGTTGAACCTTATGCTTTACATACGAATTTTAGTATTGTTCCTTTTAATACCTTAATTGCTACTACCTCATCCCAACATTCTCTCTCTCTTTCTCTTACACACACACACACACACACACACACACACACAGATCGCACAGTCATGTGTATGTGTGTTTGCATGGTAAATCTTCATGTTTAGCCCAGCTCCCCTACATGGACACCTTTCTACCTTGTGCTTTTGTGACTGCCTGGGTGTCCCACATTAGTTTTTTATATTGTTTTGTCATTGTTTATTCCCCTTTTTTCCCACTAGCTATGAGCTCTATTTATGGCAGGGTCTGGGGATAAGAGCCCTCTGTCCCTGACTCTAAAACTCTGAGCTGGACTGAAAGAGGAAATGTAGCTTATATTACAATAAGTTCAGATAATTGAATCTTAATGTTAACCAACAAAATCCCTTTGGAACTCATAATGATGATATGTGTGACATCCAACCTAAGCTAAGCATATGAAGCTCTAACTATAAATAAAATTTAGCTATAAGGCTCATGGAAACCAAAGAGGGTAAAAGGGAAATCAGTACAAATACAAAAAGACATCTTTTGGAATCTACTGAATACAAGGAGAGCAATGCATACTTGAAGTTCCCATGAGAGTTCAAGTGTAGAGGACAAAGTAGGTCTTGTAATGAAAGGTGGCCTGGCATATGGCACAGACACCCATACACTGCAACTGAGCCAATGACTGCCCAGGAACCAAGCAAGGAAAGGCTCCTTCTGTACTTAGCATGGATGGATGCAGGTCTCAAATGACTCTTTTTCATCCACACAAATCTGCATAGTGAAATCAAAGCCATTGGCAAATGTGGATGGTGAAAGCTGTTGAGAAGCATCAAATAATAGAAAACAGATTTTTTTTAAACAAATTTTTTTGCAATGCTGGGGATGGAACCCAGGGCCTCACACATGCCAGATAAGCACTCTACTGCTGAGCTATACCCATAGCCGATTTTGTATTTTTTTTAGTCACAATTTTATTATTCTAATTTGTATTTTGTAAGGAAAGTTTCAACGTATGGAAAGTCATTGTAATTTTTGTTTCTCATGTGTTTGTGTTTCTGACCTCTCCAATTTAGGTTGCATTTTAACAGGCAAGTAAGTATCACCTTAGCAAAACAATGAGGGTTTCCAGAATTCATAAGCAGAGCAAACTCATGATGAGGACAGTGGATGGGCCAACTTGCCCATCTAATCACTTGTATGTGATAATAAGATATAGTGCTGTTTATTAGAAGTGCAGTAAATAACTCTACTATTATAATTGCCAAAGAAGTTGCATAGTATTTTAGAACAGCTTCTAAATGTCTCATCAAAAGAAAATCAGCTTTATTATCACAGAAAATAAATGCTGGAAAAGGGTTGTTTTCCTGGGCAACAGTGGTTTTAAATATCCAGAGTGATAGATCAGAATTGAGAAAGTTCTATTTCCACTTTTTCATTTTGCCATTTCCTGTCTCAGGCACAGAGTGAAGCTTCTGGTACCAAAGCAGAAAGGTCTGCCACCCCTGTAATAATGTCCCTTGTCTTATTCTTAGTACTACAAAAGCCCAGAAGGAAGCCAGGCAGTAATTTTTCCCTTCTTCCTTTCTTTCTTCCTTCCTTCCTTCCTTTTGGTGGTACTGGGCTTTGAACTCAGGACCTTGTGCTGCTAGGCAAGTGCTCTGCCAGTGAGCACCAACCCTTTTTTATTTTATTTTCCAGATATGTCTGCCCAAAGCCAGCCTCCAGCTACAATCCTCCTACCTCCATCTCCTAAGCTGAGTGACAGCTGTGAAGCCACCAGGCCAAGCTTGCTTTTTGAGACAGGATCTCACTAACTTTTTAGGGGGTGGGTACCTAGGCTGAACTCCAACCAGGATCCTCCTATTTCTGCCTGTTGAGTAATCAGATGAAAATTTTCTACTGTCACATATTGAACAATTAGGAAGTCAGCCTGGCAGCCCACTTGGAAAGTGAAGGCAGGAAGGATCTCAAGTTCTACTCCAGCCTGGGGTACATAACAAGACCCTGTCTCAAATGTTTTTTAAAAAAAAATCAGGAAAGAGACTCACTAATAAACTTGGGAAAACTGATTAGACCAATAAAAGAGAGCATTGAATTTCACTTAAAATATTTTTAACCTTGAAAAGAAGGGATTGTGGAGGAAGTAATGCAATCAAAATCAAACATTGCTCCTAACTGTTGACACTAATGTTAATACAAAAACTTCCAATCAGCAGAAACGTGCACATTACTCATTGTAATGTTTTCTCTTACAAGGGCTATGTTAAAGTGCTGCGGGTACATTCATTTGTCACATAATGTCTAAAGAAAGCTTGTATAAATAGTCATGTATGGCTCCAAGTTAAAAGGGGGAAAATACAAAGCCCAGAAAGTCTGCGATGCTCTTGCTTCATGCTCAAGCTGAGTGGAGACATACAAGAAGCCTTCAATGACGTGATCATTCCACACAGCAGTAACAGGCTGTGAGCGCAGTCCTTGAGGCCAGTGAAAGACTGCAATGAAAGCAATGCTGACTGAGTTCTTTTTTTTGGTACATTACAGCTTTAACATGACTGTTAAAGTTTCTTTGAGAAGGTTTGGATTTTGGAAGTAAAACCTCGTTTCCAGACTCTAAACTTATTATATAATGATGTGGTGTATATATTATATAAAGTAATTAACTTACAGAGCTTAAATCATTAGCCAAGCCCAATGTTTCTATTGGCCAAGCATGAGGTTAACACATTATTTGAGACTCTTACTCATTCCGCACTGGATGTGGACATCCATGACTATAATCCCGGCAGGAGGTGGACACAGGAGAATCACTGTTTGAGGCCAGTCAGAGCAAAGTTAACTTGAGGCCCTGTAGAAAAGGAAACTAAAAGTAAAAGGGCTGAGGGTGTGGCTCAAGTAAGAATGCTTGCCTCACAAGCAGAAGGACCTGAGTTCAATCCCCAGCACTGCAAACAACAAGAACAAAAATAATTCTATTCATTCCTTCCCCTGATGTTAAATCTAATCTTGATGCAGACACCATTAACTAATGAAAACAGGTGGCCAAAGACTTCAGTAGTACAATGTCTCTCAAACTGTGACAGCAGTGCATTAAACCCAAAATATGTATCATTGATATAAAAACTTTAGTTGGAACCTCTTTATAAACAGACACCCTAGTTGGCCTAATCCATAAGACTTGTCCTGGGGTAGCTTCTGTAATCACAGCTGCCTCGGTCACTCACTGAAAATCTTCTCAATTTTGAGGACAGAAAGCTGTAAACTACTTAAAATTTCCCCCCAAAGAAGTAAGATCATTTGATCAAAGACCAGTATGGGTTTGGCTCCTAATTAAGAGGCCATGTATGTCCTGCTTACCGGGAAGCAAGGGCGTTTGTATGTGCCCTTCACCAGCTGGTCTGACACTGTCTGTTTTCCTTCACTGAGAATCACAGGATTGCTGGCCCATGTGCGGCATGTCCCTGAGGAAAGTGGAGGTAGGAAAACACAAATAGATTCATGGCCCTACATGTCCACATGTGAAAATTGAAGAGATCAAACTTTATATCCTGTTCACACTCCCCAAGAACAATCAGCGTGGTCTCAAGAGGAAATTTATGCGAGGCAGTCATGTAAACATCCATAATCAGAACTGGAAATGACTGGGTACATTTAAGGCTGCCAAAGAATATATTTTTGGACCTAAGTTTACATTGCCGAATAACAGACTCCCGAGGCCCTCCAGGATGGAAATCCCGACTTACTTCACCATGGCAAACCCAAATTTTTTGGCCTTGTCCTAAAGGCATATCCTGAGCACAATCAACAGTGCTTTAAAATTAGCCAGAGGAGGCAGTGTCTCAGTTAAACTTGAGTTTCCTTTTCTTCCTTGTGTACAAAAATTGGTGAAGTTAACCAACAAATTTATTTCAAAATACATGAAGAGAAAAGCAAAAACTACAAATATGAAAGTTAAAGTCAAAA